CCCAGCCGTGTTTCAGGGCCACTGGTGCCCCGGGGACACCAGCAGCATCACCGACCCGCTGGCTCATCCTGCATCCCCGGGTTTCCATGGATAGGAAACCCTCCAGGAAGGTGCCACCTCCTCTAGGTGCTGAGCACCATTGGATGCCAAGGGAAAGGCAGGGCGTGCAGGATTCAGCCAGGGGTGAAATGGGCAGTGCAGGGCACAGCAGGGATGCCAGCATTTACCTGCCTGGAGCTGCTCACCTGGAGGGACAAACAGTGGGTATCAGCCCCAGTGGCACAGGGGAGAGGGGACCCAGGGCACCAGTGCCATGGCTCAGCCCCTGCCTGGGCTGCTGCCAGCCCTGTGCCTGAGCCCCTGGTGGGGGTCCCTATGGCAGCACCCCCAAACCAGTCTCACCCAGGAGCCCAGCCAGTGCCAGGGCTGGAGGAACAGCCAGTCTGGGGCTTGCAGGGTCTGCAGGAGGGAGCTCACCTGTGGAGAGAGGGGGCAGAGCAAGACGGGGACCCAGACCCTGCTGACACTCATACTCTACTGACACCCGCCCCTTCCAGCACCCTCCCTAGCCGAGAGCAGCCTCCCAGGCCCCCTGTGGCCCCTCCCATCCCCCAGACTCAGCCCCAGGCAGGTCTCAGCCATGGGGTCCAGGGGTTCTGGGTGCTACGGTGGAGGGGTGGGACCACCTGGGTGCAGGTGTCCTCCGTACCAGCTCCCCCTTTACCTGGGCGAGGAGGTTCATCTGCAAGGAGAAAAGATGATGTCCTGAGGGCTGGGGACAAGGGCTGTGCCCAGCCCCACCTCAGGGACCTCTCTGTCCCCAAACAGCTGTGGTGACACATCACCCTGCTGAAACCCACAGCCTCGGGCACTGTGCCAGTCCTGGCACTTGTGCTATGCCCTGCTTCCTCACCGTGGGGACACCTCCGAGGCCCCCTCACTTCGCTGTGGTCCTGAAGCTGCTGCTGCTCCAAAGGTGGCTGTGGGACAGGACCTCAGCCCGCCCCAGTGAACACTATGGTGGCTCTTGGCTCTGCTGGTGCCCAGGAATGTGCCCGGACCGGCTGCACCGTGGCACCGTGCCCATCATGTGGGGCCAGTACCGGGGGACAAACCCAACCTGGTGTGACATTTCATCCACAAACCTCTTGAGTGACCCCAAAGGAGTCACAAAACAGCCCTGTGGCCACAACACACTGACAGCCAGTGGCCAGCAGGCTGGTGACAAATCACCTCTTGGTGCCAAAACTCTCTGGCCCTGGATGGTCACCAGCCTCTCCCCGTCTCTGTGTCCCCAGGGGCGGTGCATGACCGGGGTCAGCTCTGGAGTCACATTAAACTTTAATCCTTGTGCCGGGGGGTCACTGAAGGCTTTGGCAGGGCTCGGGTGGGTGACTGTCACCCTCTGTCATCGGGCAACCTCCAAAGAATCATTTATCACGGAGCCTCCAATAAACAAGAGCTAATTACAGCTGAAACCCGAGCCTGGCCTGGACCTGGCTCAGGGCAGGCAGCCATGTTAACCCTTCCCAGCCACCTCCAGTCCCACAGCCATCCTCCTGGACCTTTGTGTCATCTGCTGGTTGCTCTTGTCCCTTCCTGAACACCACCATCCTCTCCTTGTCCCTGTTGTCCCACTCTGATGTACCCTCCAGTTCTCATCACACCCTTCTGGTCCCCAGTGTTCCCTCCTGGTCTCCATCATCATCTGGTCCTCACCATTTCTCTGAGTTCTCTTGGCCCCTGTTTGTCACTACTGTCCCACTCTGGTCCACATCATCCCGTCCCAGTCCCCATCATCCCATGCCAGTCCTCACTATCTCCTCATGATCCCTATCCACTCCTATTGTGTTCCACTGCCCCCTCCTGATCCCCATCACACCCTCCTGGTCCCCATCATTCTCACATGGTCTCTATTGTCCTGTTCTGGTCTCCATCATCCCCTCCTGGTCAGTGCTGTCACCTCCTGCTCTCCACTATTTGTTATTGTCTCTAGGTCACCATTAAAACATCCAGGTTCTCACTGTCCCCTCCTGTTTATAACCATCCTCTCCCAGTCCCTATCACCTCCTCCTTATTCCCATGGTGCCCTCCTGATCCGTGTTGTCCTCTCCTGGTCCCCACCATCTCCTCTTGGTCTCCTTCATCCTCTTCTGGTTTCAAATCATGCCATCCTCACTCCCATCATCTCCTCCTGGTTCCAAATCATTCCGCCCTGGTCTCCACCATCTCCTCCTCATCCCCACCACCCCCTCCTGATCTTTGTTGTCACCTCCTTGTCCCTGTCATCTCCTCCTTATGCCCATCAGTTTGTCCTGATCATCATCCCCTCCTTGTCGTCACTATCTCCCCTTGATGCCCATCATCTCCTTCTGGTTCCCCACCAGCCTGTGCCATCACCAGCAGGAGTGGGACTGCCAGGACAGCAGTGCCTCCCTGGGTCACCCAATGTTCCCAAGCGAGCTGTCCCCTGGCCAGGGTGCATCTGTGAGTTTCCCATGGCCAGTAGGATTAGGGTGGCTGGAGCCTTGGGGCTGCTCCCAACCACAGGTCTCAAGCCCATCGCCATCATCTTTGGGTAATTAGTAAATTAGTAATTAAATGCTCTCTGCCTGCTGGGTAGAAGGGGGGCAGATCCCAAGGTTTTAGGCTGGGTAATCCTGTGGCATCTGCCCCAGCGTCTGTCACCGAGCCGAGTCACGACCCCGCCACGGGCTTTAACGTTTGCTCCTTCACCCCCACCCGCCGCCCACAGCCCCTCGGCTGCGGCGTCAGGGTCGCTCCCCAAAACAGGCTGGGCTGAGCCCCCACAGGTGCCCAGTTGGGTGCTTATGGGGTGCTCATCCCCAGGAGGAGGACAGGGTGCTGCTCTGTGGGGATCCCACCTCTGGGAGAGCGCCCAGCTGGGTGTAACGGAGAAACAGGGGAAGAAACCATATTTTTGTAATTATTGGCTTTCCTGGGGGTGCTGATGATTGGCTGGCAGCAGATGGTTGGCCCTGCTAATCCCCCTCCCAAATCCCTGCTCCGGAGCTGGCTTTTACCCGACGGCGAGGAGGGGACGGGCAAATTAGCCGACTCAGCATGTATCACCACGCTGGTCACCGCCGGCGTCCCCTGTCACCAGGTCCCTGTGTCACCCATGGGTGGACTGGCACCCCGGGGTGCGGGTCCTCCTGGTATCCCCGGATCGGGCACTGGGAGATGTTTCACACACGGGCCAGGGGTCTGGAGGCCCCCAAGGGCCAGGCAGGGTAGGTGACAGCTTGCTCCCGCCGCATTAGCCCAGCGTCATAATTCTGCCGCAGGAGGAGGGCGACCGCGCCGCAGATGGCGGCGGTCAGAGATCTGGGTCAGGGCGGGCGCTGCGGGGTGGGACAGGGCACCCCGGGGGGATGGGAGCCCCAGGGGTGCAGGGAGGCTGGAGGCTGTGGTGTAGGCAGGGATGGGGTCATAGTGAAGGCAGGGACAGAGCCATGGAGGCAGCAAGGATGGAGCTGTGGTGCAGGCAAGGATGGAACCATGATGAAAGCAGGGATGGAGCCACGGTGCAGGCAGGATGATGGAGCTGTGATGAAGACAGGGATTGAGCTGTGGTGAAGGCAGGGATTGAGCTGTGGTGAAGGCAGGGATGGAGCCAGCGTAAGGCAAGGATGGAACCCTGGTGAAGACAGGATGATGGAGCTGTGGTGGTTGCAAGGATGGAGCTGTGGTGAAGGCAGGAATGGAGCTGTGGTGAAGGCAGAGGTCAAGTCATGATGCAGGAAGAGATGGAGTTTTGGTGCAGGCAGGGATGGAGCCATGTGTGGATAGGAAGGACAGTGGAGCTATGTGCAGGCAGGAAGGGTGATGGAATGATGCTGCACATGGGAACATGGAACAATGGTGCAGGCAAGGTTGATGGAGTTGCGGTGCAGTGAGGAATGCTGCAGGCAGGGGGATGCAGGAACGCTGCAGGCAGGGGGATGCAGGAATGCTGCAGGCAGGGGGAAAGGAAGGAGGTTGGAAGCAGGATGACAGAGCCAGGGTGCAGGCAGGGGGATGCAGGAATGCTGCAGGCAGCAGGGATGGAGCTGCACAGCAGTCAGGGATGCCTGAGGGGTGACCCCCAGCCCCCGGATCCACTGATGTCACCACCACCAGCCCTCGGCAGGGACCTGTTGCCAGCGCCTGTCTCCTGGGACACCTCCACGGCAGCCACACCTCTGAGACCCCCCCCAAGGGAGGGACACAGGGGGCCGGAACACCCGTCCTCAGCCTGGCCCATCGCTGGGGACAGCCCGGGCCGGGTGACAGTGGCCACCCGCCACCCCCCTGAGCTGGGTAGGGGGGGTTTAGCGGCTAAAGCCTTCAAATCCCAAATTGTGCTGCCCTGTCACCGCGAGGGTTTAGCGGTGGTTGCGTAACACCGGGGGCCACCTGGCCCCACTCTCTGCGGTGTCAGCAGCCTTAACACCCCCGGGGCCCCCTCCCGCCCCCCGGGAGGGGAAGCTGAGGCACAGGGGGACCCCCACCGAGCACCCCCCTCCCCTTGCCATCAGGGCCGGTAATTAATTACTTGGGGGCAGGGAAATTACCCCCCTTAATTACCACTTTTCGTTATTCCCCTCTAACCGCCTTAGTGAAGGGCTTATGTGCTTACAGGAACCGGTGGGTCCCAAGGGGGGGGACACACAGATGGGGGGTCCCCACCCCAATCCCCATCTCCCACCTCTGCCGCAATCTCAGCCTCGCGGTGCTGGGGGGGTGGACACGCGGTGACAGGGTGACACCCCCACGGTGGCCCGCGGCGGCGCGCGGGGGGGGTGGCTTGGGTGTCGCGGGGTTTAGGGTTACAGGGCTGGGGCTCAGTACCTTTTTAATTCTTCATCGCGTGGCTGATTGATCCCCCCCGCCCCGCGCAGACACTAAAGATTAAGAGGGTGACAAAGAGGCGGCTGCTTACACAGCGCCTGCCTAAGCCGCCTTGAAGAGAGCAAGGCAAGAGCCCCGCTGCCCGCAGAGCTGCCCGAGCACCCACCGCCTCGCCAGACTCACCGCGCTGGATCCAGAGGGACAGGACAGGGAGAGGTCGGGAACGCCGGGTCGGGGATGGCTGCGTCCCCGGCGGGGTCAGTGGTGAGCGCCGGGCTGGACGAGAGCCCCACGGGTAAGAGGTAGAACGTTCTGCTGGACTGGGGGCGACACAGTGGGACTGCGGGCACCGGGGGGGCTTTGAGATGGCTGGACCCCTGTTGTGGTCATTCTGGGAGTCCTCTTCATGGTTCTCCTCTGGGATAATTGGGGTCCCCATTGTGGTCCAGCTCCGAGATGCCTGGGGTGCCCAGCACAGCCACCTGGATGCCTTTGGTCCCAGTTGGGGTCCATCTCCAAGATACCTGGGGGTCCCTATCATGGTCCATCTCCAAGACACTCAGTGTCCCCACCATGGTTCTTCTCTGGGATGTTTGGGTTCTCCATCGTCATCCTTCTCCAGAGTGGCTGGGGTTCTCATCATGATGCTCCTCCTGGGTGCCCAAGGTCCCCATCAGGGTCCTTTGGAATGCCTTGGGTCCTCAGCTGTCACACTTCTCCAAGATGGTGAGGGTCCCCATTGTGGTCCTTCTCTAGGCTGAGATGCCTGCAGTTGCCAACCCTCTCCATGATGTCCATGGCCCTCATCATGTTCCTTCTCCAGGATCCCTGGGCTCCCCAGTTATGCCCCTTATCCAGGATGCCTGCAGTCCCCAGCCACAACCCTTTCCTGGGTCCCCTTGAACACCAGCCCTTCTCCAGGGTCTCAACTGTCTCCTGCTGTGACCCTTCTCTGGGCTGCCCCATGTCCCCAGAGGTGTCCCTTCTGCAGGACACTTCCCATCCCTGATTGCAACCCTTCTCTGGGATGCTTAGAGTCCCCTCACTGGCATGCTTGGAGTCCCCATCCTTAGGGACACCCTTTCATCCCTTTTGTTTTTTTTTTAAAGTCACATGAGAGCACATCTCACATCACCCTGGGTGCTGGGGTGTGGAAAGATGCGGACCCCCGTGCAGAGTCCCCGTCCATGTGTCTGGGCTGGACGGGTGGTGATGGGAGCCACCCCATTGCCAGGATGCTGGGAGGCAGCAGGGACTGGTGGGAGGGACAAGGGACATCGGGAGGTCTGGAGTCACTCCGAGCATGCCGGCTCTGCTCCTGCAGGGCTGAGCCCGGCCCCGGGCAAGGCGCTGAGCCCGGTGCTGCTGTGCAAGGTGTGCGGGGACACCAGCAGTGGGAAGCACTACGGCATCTACGCCTGCAACGGCTGCAGCGGCTTCTTCAAGCGCAGCGTCCGCAGGAAGCTCATCTACAGGTGGGAATGGGGGCAGGGAATGGGGGCATGGGCAGCCAGGGGAGCAGGAACCAGGGGGACATGAACCCAGTGGGGCAGAGACCCTGGGGATGGACACCATGGAGGAAAGGATGCCCAGCAGGGAAGGGACCCCAAGGCTGGGCACTCAGAGGGGCAGGGATGCGGAGGATGGACAGTGGGGCAGGAATGGTGGGGACAGGCAACCAGCAGTGTAGGGGCACCCAGCAGAGCAAGGGCCCCAGGGAGTGGGCAACCAGTGGGATGGGGATCAGGTAGACATGAACCCACTAGGATAGGGAATCAGGGAATGGGGCACCCAGCAGGGAAGGGACACAGGGAAATGGACACTCAGTGGGACAGGGACTTTGAAGACAGGAACCCAGTGGGGTAAGGTCCCACAGTATGAACACCCAGCAGGGCAGGGGCCCCAGGACATGGGCAATGCATGGGGCAGGGACCCAGAGGTACTTGAACCCAAGCAGGGCAGGAACCAGGGGACAGGCAAACAGTGGGGGAGACACCAGGTGGGGGAGTGTCTGGGGCATCCTCATGGGTCCAGGACACCCATCAAGGCAGGGTATGCACTGGCACAGGGCACCCACTGGGGACAGGACATCTGCTGGGGACAGGGTACCCACCATGGTGGGGCACTCTTGGAGTAAACCCATGGTGGGTGGGACAAGACACCCAACAGGGACAAAGCACCCCTAGGACATGGCACCCATGGAGGCAGAACCCTCTGTGGGGACAGGGGCCACTGCAGGGGCTGCAGCCAGGTGCCACCTCTCCCCATAGGTGCCAGGCGGGGACGGGGCTGTGCCCGGTGGACAAGGCACATCGCAACCAGTGCCAGGCCTGCCGGCTCAAGAAGTGCCTGCAGGCTGGCATGAACAAGGACGGTGAGATGGGGGACAGACACACACACACATGGTGATGGATGGCAGGGGGTGGCAGCGAGTGGCCAGTGCTGATGTCACCTTTTCCCCGCAGCCGTGCAGAACGAGCGCCAGCCCCGTAGCACGGCCCAGGTCCGGCTGGACAGCATCGAGCTGGATGCTGAGCTGCCCCCAGAGCACGTGGCCACCACACGTGAGGTGCCCCCATCACCCTGTCCCGCTCCTCGTGGTCCTGGTGCCACTGTCACTGTCACCCCGGGTCCACGGGCGCCCACACCACCCACCAACCATCGCTTCATGGCCAGCCTCATGACGGCCGAGACCTGCGCCAAGCTGGAGCCTGAGGATGGTGGGTGGCTGCCAGTAGGGGGGACGGGTGGGGGTGTTGTCTCCCCTGTGTGGTGACTACCAGTGTCCCCTTCCATCCCTGTAGCCGATGAGACGGTGGATGTGACGGGCAGTGAGCCGGAGCGGGCGACCGGCGAGTACCAGGTGGCACCATACCCGGCAGCCAGCCCTGAGAACATCTACGAGACCTCTGCACGGCTCCTCTTCATGGCTGTGAAGTGGGCCAAGAACCTGCCCGTCTTCTCCAACCTGCCCTTCCGCGACCAGGTGGGGTTGGGGGATCCCCATGGGGAACTGGGGATCCCCCATGGGGCAACAGGGACCCCAAAATATGTAGGCAGCCAGTGGGCTGTGGATGGCTGGAGCATCTCCACAACATTCTTGGGGCACCCCCAGAGAAGATGCTCTTCAGCTCAACCAGCTGTGGTGGCTGGAGGTGCTGGAGGCCTTGGGGGTTAAGGTGGTTTTGGGGCTCTCCCTGCTCTCGCCAGGTGATCCTGCTGGAGGAAGCATGGAGCGAGCTGTTCCTGCTCTGCGCCATCCAGTGGTCCATGCCCCTGGAGAGCTGCCCGCTGCTGGCTGTCCCCGAGCCGGCCCCTGGGAAGCTGCTGCCGGCTGCCCTGGATGTCCGGGCGCTGCAGGAGACCCTCGGCCGCTTCAAGGCGCTGGCCGTCGACCCCACTGAGTTTGCCTGCATGAAGGCTGTGGTGCTCTTCAAACCAGGTGAGGGCACCCACCAGCACCTGCTGCTGGCCGTCCCCCTGTACCCACCCCACCCCATCACCCCTCTGTCCCTGCAGAGACCCGTGGCCTGAAGGACCCCGAGCAGGTGGAGAACCTGCAGGACCAGTCGCAGGTGATGCTGGGCCAGCACAACCGTTCCCACTATCCCGGGCAACCCGTCAGGTACCGCTGTCCCCAGGTCCCCACAGGTGACACCAGGGGAGGGACACTCACCCCTGGCCACCACTCTGTCCCCAGGTTCGGGAAGCTGCTGCTGCTCCTCCCGGCGCTGCGCTTTATCTCCTCGGAGCGCGTGGAGCTGCTCTTCTTCCGCCGGACCATTGGCAACACCCCCATGGAGAAGTTGCTGTGTGACATGTTCAAGAACTGACATTCCCACCCCGCTGTCACCTGGCTTGTTTGCCCCCTTGCACTGGCACCCTCTCACCCTCACCCTGGATCTCCTCACCCTGGGGTGTGAAGGGGCCCGTGGTCCCATCTCCAGGGAGGTGGCCAGGACTGTGGGATGCCCCCAGCAGCTGGGACCAGCTTCACTGGTGGCAGGGAAATGTCCCTGAGTGCCCAACGCACTGGGAGCACCTCACAGGGGTGGGGGCTCGATGGTGCCACTGTCCCAAATGCTGGAGGAACCCAGGCAAGGCACCCCCGGCACCATGGGAACCCACTGCCACCTGAGGGGGTCACTGGCCTGGGGGACACTCACCCAGGGATGAAGCCAACCTGAGGGTGACAACAGCCAGGGGTGACACTGGCCAGGGGTGATACCAGCCTGAGGGTGACACAGGACCAAGGGTGGTGCCAACCTGGAGGTGACACAAGACCGGTGCCACTGGCCAGGGATGATGGCAGCCTAGAGGTGACACTGGCCACAGGGGTGATGGACACCCTGGGCGTGACTGGTCTGGGGGTGACAAGGGCTGGGGATGATGGACATACAAGATGGACATACAAGATGGACATACATGACACTGGCTGGGGGTGACACCAAACCAGCATGACCCCAGTCCAGAGGTGACACTGTCCAGGGGTCACCCAGCCCAGGGTGATGCCAGCCCAGGGGTGATGGACACCCTGGGGGTGATCCCAGTCCTGGGGTGACCCCATCCCAGAGGTGACCCCAGCCTGGGGGTGACACTGGTCGGGGGGTGACGCCATCCTGGGCTGCAGGGCCCTCCTGCCACCACTTCACTCCTCGCCGTGTCCCGGGGGGCTCCCGCTTATGTCCCCCTCATTTTCTACTTGGAATAAAGAGGATCTTTGCAGCCACACTCCCATGACACTGATTTAGGGTCCCCCTGGACAGGGGGACAGTGGGGGGAGCACCAGCTGAATGGAAATAATCTGAACAGAAATCAATAAAAATCAATAACCTGAATATAAACATGTTGCAAATAAATTATCTGAATAGGAATAAGATAAATATATATAAAATTGATATAAATAATCTGATTTAAATGATGGGAATTGAAGAATCAGAATATAAATTAGATTATAGAAGTAACGTGAAAATAAATGAAATTAAATAATCTGAAATAATTTGAATAGCAAGAAATTGAAAATAAACTATCTGAATATAAATAAATATAAATAACCTGACTGGATAAACCCAGAATTAAATACAAATAATTAATAATCAATAATAATTAAGCAGAATTAACAGAAATAAACTGAATAGAAATAAAATGAAACTAATCTGAAATAATCTGAGAAGGAATAAACTGAAAATAAACTACTGGAATATAAATGAGATAAATCTAAATAATCTGATTGGAAATAATCTGAATTAAATAATGTCAATAGAAATAAAATGAAATAATCTGAATACGGATTAACTGGAAATAAATTATCTGAATATGAATTAAATATAAACAATCTGATTAAATTAATAGGTGTAGAAATAATCTGTATAGAAATAAATAATGTGAATATCAAACAAGAGAAATAGAAATCCTCTGGCCATAAATAATCTGAATGTGAATAATCAGCATTAAATAATCCCATGGGAATGGGATTACTCCCGGGCCCAGTCCCTCATTCCAGCTCTTCCCTCCCTGCGAGGTCAGAGGATCAGGAAAACCCAAAAACTGCCCTTTATACACCCCCTGGGCTGATGGAAAGAGGAACTCCCCCCCCCGCCCCAACCCCCTGGAATTTTGGGACAGCATCCATGTCCCACCGGGAAGTCTTCACCTTTAGAGAACGACACTTTTATTTCTCTGGTTTTGTCCTTTTTTACACGATTCCGAGCGCGGGCGACGCGGGATCATAAATCCTCTGACAATACAGACTTTGTTTAATTTACAGAATTATAAATTACTTAGAAAACGTCCCATGAAAAATAACAATAATTCCCCCTCGCAGCCCCTTCTCCTTTCCAGTGTCAGCACATTCCCCTCCGGAAAAGCCCTTCGGGCCCCAAATCCATCCAAAGGAACGGTGGGAAATCCTGGGAATAGACACCCTGGAACATCCCATTATCCCTCCAGTCCTGCTCAGCTCCTGCCAGGATTTTATATATATATATATGTATATGTGTATATAGTTCTTTTATTTCTATCTTTCTTTTTGTCTATATAACTACAAATACATTATATATATAAAGAAATACATTTTCTATATATTCTATATATATCCCATACATTTTTCTATATAAAGAAATATATTTTCTCTCTATATTCCATACATTTATATATATATATAAAGAAAGAGAGAGAAAATATATATTCTTTATATATATATATTTCCTTTATATATTTCTTTTTAGAGAAATACACTCTTTAGCTAAAGAAATATATAAATACATATGAAGAAACATATATAAACATATGTTAAACATATAGCATGTTTAAATTACATAACATATATTAAATATGTTTCTACATATAAAAGAACTACATTCAAATATATATAAAGTAATAAATATTCTTTATATATAGCACACTTTTCTTTTATATATACTTCTTTATATATAGAAATATATAAAATATATACACAAGGAACTGCAAACCTAATTTCCTTTATATACTTCTTTATATATATAAACATATAAACATATATACATAAAGAAATATATATTCTTTATATATAGTATATATCTCATATATTTCTTTATATATAAATATTGATTATATATAAAAGAAATAGAAAATACGAAGTATTTAATTTTCATATATCTTCCTTTGAGTAGTTTTTAATTGTACAGAGAATAATTCCTCTTTTGTATGTATATTTTCTTTATATATAGGATATATATTGTTATAGATGTTCTTTATATATATAATATATTCTAATATATTTTCCTTATATATAAATTATACATAATGGAAGTATATGTATAACCCAAAAGAAATATAGATACATCTATATACATATATATATATATATTTACCCAAGGCAGATCTGCCTTCCCTGCTCTCATCCCACTGGGATGAGAAACCTGTGGATGAGCTGGAGCCTCCCAGGGATCTCTCAGAAGGCAATTCCAGGGTTTTTAGCTCCACAGGCTCCCAAATGGCTGGTTTGGCCCTGAGCACTTGGATTCTCTGGCTCATTCCAGCTCCTAGTGAGTTTGGGGCGGCTCTCCAGGAGCCTTCATTGTTGTGGGCACATCCACCTTCCCAGCGCATCCGGGTTGGGCCCCAAATCCCCCTTTTTCCCCCTCTAGGGCTGGGAAAATCTCGTTTTCCTTCTTGGATGGGGAATGATTGAGTTGGTGTTGCTGCACTCCCGGGATGCGGCGCTGAGGCGGACGCTGCTCCCGCGGCCCTGGCATTTGTCCCTTCCCCCAGTGGAAAACAAAGAAAGATAAAATTAAAGTGGAATTTCAAATATCAAATAAAAAACAACCCCAATAAATAAACCATCCCTGGAAAGAAACGGCCCTTTGGGCAGGGGGGAGAGGGACCAAGGGCTCAGCTGAGCCCAGAGATGCCGGGAAAAGACCAAATACTCCAGAAAACTCCATTTTTTGCTCTTTTCCCAATTTTTATGGTGTTTTGGGAAAGATGTGATGCCCAGCCCACCTGGAAGGACAGATTCAGCCCTAATTAATCTAATTAGCGCCTCAGGGCTCCTCATTTTGCCTTTCCAGAGGTCTTCCAGTACCCGGAGCTTCTCCAGGTGCCACCGAGGGTGACGATGATGACACAAGGGAGGGATTAAGAGCCAAGTCATTAGTTAGTGACATTAATTAGTCCTATGATGGGCTAATTACACCTCCAGGGATTTCTTGCTGACAACAAAACTCACTGTTTTATTGAGTGATAGTTGGTGACACCAGCGGTGACACCAAGGACGGCTCAGCCTATTGCTCCCCTCCTCCCCGGCCCAAAAATAATAATAATAATTAAAAAAAAAAAAAAAAAAAAAAAAAAAAAAAAAAGAAAAAAAAAAAGAAAAAAGGTTCTGTCTGGGGAAAAATATAAAAAAAAAATAAAATAAAAAATATATCTATTTACACTCAACTCCAGGAACCGGCATATAAACAAATATCGCTTCAAGTAGTCCTTGAGTATTATTATTATTATTATTATTATTATTATTAATTTTTAATACTGATGGTCGCCAAAAAAAAAAAAAAGAGGAGGAAAGGTGGTTAGGTCACGTTAAAAAATCAAAACCCGAAGGAAAACGGTGATTTTTGGCAGATTTTAACGCTTTTCCATGCGCTCGGCGTTGGCGTGGATGAGGTGGTGAAAGCACGGAGGGCTTGGCTGCAGCGGAGCCAGCGCTGGCTCAGGATGATCCCGTGGGATATTTAGGCTTGGTTTTCTCCTTCCCATGGGATTTTTAGGCTTGGCTTTCTCCTACCCATGGGATTTTTAGGCTTGGTTTTCTCCTACCAACAGGTGACTCGGCACGAGGGTTTGGCAGCGCGATGCTCCGAGTTGTGGGTGCTCCGAGGGGAAGGGCGTAGGAGCCGGCCGGTGCCCCTCCATCCCCGTCCACCCCCCGCACCCAAAGGTCTCAACTCCCCAAACCATTAAGGCCACTGTTAAACCATCCCCCCCCGGGCCTTTTTACTTAAGAATTCATCCTCCTGGCGTTAACGAGGAAGCTGTGGGAGCGCTGCCGATGGGGAGGAAGCCCTGGCACGTGACGCGGCCCTGGGTGAAGCATCTCAGACCATGAACTCGTTGCTCCCCAGGAGGACGAGGGGTTGGGCGGCGGCACAATCGGCCTCGGGATTCCTCTTGCGTCCCCCCGTTGCTCCCCCATCTGGGGGCTCTTTGGTTTTGGGGGGGGAAGTTTTCACGCTCTTCAGTTTCTGTTTGCCTTTCTCCGGGTTGAACGTCCCACGGGTGGTGAACTGAGGCCGGTCCTCGGGGTAACGGAGGGGTCCCGCCGAGCCCTCGGGGCTCGCCCGGCTCTCAGGGGGCTCTCCATGTCCCCCTGCTCGGTAGAAAGGCGATTTGGAGTACATCTGGAAGCGCTTCCGGGGCAGGTGGGGCAGGCAGGAGGTGGACGACTGGGACGAGGAGGAGGAGGAGA